TGTCGGACACGTCTCCAGAATTTCAGTTCCATAGCTTTTGTAGTTCGGAATAGACACTGTCCGGAAACACACACACATACATATGCAAAAACGGACTGGAAATGCTAATTGATTTATTTTTCTGCCCTAAAGTCAAAGTTTTTGAACTATTGAGCGAAGAAATCCTGCTAAGTGCATGGACAGCAATGTGATATGATGTTCTGGCGATAACAGCTGCCTTAAGACGTTAGCGGCCTGTGCGTCCATATCATTTTCTCCACTGCTCTCCAAACTCTATTATTCCCTAATGCACGTTTTTTTACACTGTTATACATGGCATTTTCCAAGACCGACACCTGCTTGCAATTTTTTTTTTTCGCGAGGAAGCGACGTTTTACGCCGTTCCATCGTCACAGCGCAGAGCGCTCGTGGTTGCTAACATGAACCGTGTGTCGGATGTAGCTACGTCTTGGACAATCTTTCCGCACTATGTTGCCAGTACTTTCGTCATGTGCACTCATTGCAGAAGCGATGTGCCTGACTAATGAGGAGTGTTATTATTCGGTGCAAAGCGACCTGCACCGATTGTCAAGAAAGCAAATAGTGCGGCTTGCACTGCGATTTCTTACAGTCACCAGGATGTGTTACGTGACTGTGCTTGAACTGACCCCTCACTGCCGGACTGGAATGATGGTTACAGCGCGTTTCGCTCCAAACAGTAGAACCCGACAAAAAAAAAAAAGCATCAGCCGAATGAGCGACTGTTTAGCTGAGGGTCCTTTCTTTGCCTGGAATAACAATAAACTCCACATCTCCCGCCAATGGGTTCACTTCATTGAATATGCATCTTTCAGCTCAATACAATGTCTTCCTTAAACACTGAAACACTATTGCCTCATCTCAGAGCTATCGCCGACCGTAATGTGCTGCGCTGAGTTTTTCGGCTGGCAGGGCGGAATTTCGTGAGCTGCCGAATCATTCAGAGGTATCTCACCCCACCCCTCCGCGTCTGACTGTACAACCCACAGGCTTACTCCCACAACTGTGATTGGCTTATACACAGCGAGCTCTGATCACTGCGAGAGATCTCTCGGTGCGAGTACTGTACCACGGTACGTTAAAATCGGCCCTCAGAATAAAGATGGGGCGGTCTCGGAAAAAGGGAATCGCTTCGAGATAAACAACTACA